GCTCGAAAGCATGATCTATTCTCTAAACACTCCTGAGCGTTATTATAGAACGCTAATCGATATGCTGTCCAAAACTGACAGGTGCTTCTGAGCAGGGAGAAAAATTGCAGAAACAATACCTTGTCAGCCTTTATCCGATTTTTTGAAATTCTCAATAATAAATATCTATTGTTTCAATTGCTTTTTTTGCTCCTTTTCTTCATTTTACAACAGAAAACTTGTGTTTTCATTGGATCCTGGTGTAAAACGCTCTCGTAAGTCACTGCAATACATAAAAAATATCTTCGAATATTGTTTTATTGTTTACGAGGCAGTTGCCTTGTTCTCTCATCCATCACACGGATAGCATAGATGTTCCCATCAAAAAATTCTTCTTTGCCTTTATTCCACTGAAGTTTTTGCGGCAAATGATTTGTTTTTGATCGATTCTTTTCATTCTTTTGTTTCAGTTAAGTTCAACATTTTAATTATGATATGGCGTACAAAAATTCGACGATATTGTGTGCAATAGCTGTGCATTCATGAGGATTAATGTATATCGCGTTCATGTGCATTAATCCCTCTAAAACGTTCGAAAGTGCTATTTTTGTCCATATCGAAAATGTTCGTCATTTATTCATTACTAATTCTGCAAATTCAGCACTGATCATCATCGGCAAATAATTGAGGTGATTAATTCATGCACTGATTCTGTGAATCAACAACAATACTCGGTAACAACTTCTAACAATAATAATCAAGGAATGATGCTGATCATGATCTCGTTGTGTTTCTGCTTCGTCTTCTTCGTACATCCCACGTCTCTGGCATCCACCAATTCTCTACCGATCGAAAAAATTCCCGGTAATAATTGAAACATTCATCGTTGAATATGAGCATGAACAAAGATTTTCTTTTTCAGTACGACATATGATTTGTTAATACTTTCAATGCGAATGATATTCTCCAAAATCTGATAACGATACGGTAGAGTTAAATTGGGCAACTGATTTCTCGAGCAGAATATTTCTTTCTGACTATCTTTAATCATACAACATCTGAACATGCATCTCGAACTAAAATTCCAAGAAGTTGATCTTGAATTGTTCACACAATCAATATGGCATATCGGAATTTTGTCACCGTTTCAGTTATTCAAATCCCAAATATTTGTGTCAGTTTTATGCTTGAACTTGTGATAGACGATTTCAATTTCAGAATTTGAGGTGAGTAATCGAGAACTTGTTGACTTGGTGAATAAAATGCGATTGGAAGACGATAATAAGGCAGGGAGGGGACAGCTTACCGTCGATTATCAAGGACATACAACCACCAGAGACAGTACAGACAACGCAAAGTCTAGGTATGTCATTCTTTCACTACACTTCAATTCTAGTCCAGAACTTATGATTCAACGAGCTTTCTGGTAATTTTCATTCGAGCTCTTTTGGATATAATTAATAGTAGATGGATTGGTATATGCAGTTTTTAGGCGTGAAGCAAATTCTCATAGCTCTCTTTCGATAGTCACGGTGAATCGATATTTATCTAACTAATAACTAATAATTTAATAGTAATATAATAATATTATACTGTTACTGCCACAAATGTCCACGTGAGAGTGATTACTATATGCCATGAATATGCCATGCCATTACTATATGCTAGGGTGATTACTATTTATCGCGTGCATTTCTTCAACCATGAATTTTTGCTTGCTATCCTGGCGAGGATGAAATCCCTGGCGAATGCAACTACTATCACTTTCAGCCTTTTCAAGCAAGTGGATCAGTCGTTACTGCAAAAAAACACTTATAAACTTTTCGTCGCTCTCAACGATAACTTCGATCGTCGTACTGGAGTCAGCGAAACTCAGTCACCTAAAGTATGCAACCAACCAATCCTTCATTGCACTCGCCTTCCTCCTCACTAGATACCTCTTTGAACCTCTCCTATTATAAATGTTCATTATCATTTCTTCATGGTCCATTAATTCTGGACGCTCAACAGGTTTTTATCTGTCTTTTGATGGCAAGCACTTCACAGTAAACAGTCTGATGTTAAACTGATTTGATAGGATTTAAGATTATCTGGATAAGCAGATTGCATTTTTGGAGATTGCATTGCTGAGAATGTGAGAATTTTTCAGAAATTGTGGAGAGGGACTCGAATGATCGGTTTGTTGAATAGTAATGATCGTAACAGAATGACGATGATACCGTTGAAGATTTTGTTATTCTGTTGCAAAACTGAAAACGAAGAATATTTTTGAATCGATAAGTAAACCAATGAATTCTAGGAAAAACAGGAGGTGGCACAGTTTCTGGATGCAATTCTCAATACGAAACTTTGGCGAACACTTTATGATTTCTTGCACAAAAAAGGTCGGTGGCAATTTTTACTTGATCTCTCGCATACACCTTCCAGTTTGATCCCATCGTTCTCTCCGTGCTCCTCAAGTGGGCAGTTATGGTGTTTGCACTGTTTACGTATTTGTTTTCAATGGCATCTATCGCAGAAAGAAGCTCGAAAGTACCTTGAACAACTCGTATTCCTCACCTTCATTGAGATCCTTCATGCTTCCTTCCGGTCACCAATCAAAGTCCACTCGCATTGATTTTCTAGGACATCCTTTCGCCAAGGATCGAACCATTTTTCGTTTCTGGTTAAATCAACTTTGGTTTGTGCATTATTCACGAGCTCGAGGTCTAGCCGATACATCCGGATTTGAACATGTTTTCATCGGTGAAGTAGGTTGCATTCATTGCTGAACATTCTTTCGCTATTCTAAATCACTGACACTTCAACGGATCACAAGGTAAATCTAGTAGGACTTGAAGTGCGATTCAGTCGTCGTATCATGCTTCATCACCCAGTTATTAGCCCTTCTGTAGAATTTTTTTTTTTTGAATAATGAACTTAACATTTGAGGTTTTGTATTTATGTTTGACCGTTCTTCCCACATTGATTCTCATCGCAATGCAGTGATGGATGATTCAGTGTATATTTAAGGAGGCATTTCATTGGTGTGCCACTTTTATTGGAAAAAAACTTGAAATGATGAAATTATCTATTTGAAGCAAGCACTTATATCGGGAGAGAGGAACGTTTCGCATGTGTTTCAAATGATCGAGATTTTGTGTATTTGCAGACGAAAAATGGTGAAATATCTGGACTGCATAACTGGTTACGCTTTTATTTACTTGAACGAAACGTATCGCAGCATTTCGATTACAAGGGATTCCTCGTGAAGAGATTCGTGAGTTACAATCATTTTCGAATTGTAACCTTTCTAGAAAGGAAGTTTTTGAAACAGGATCAGAAACGGAAAATTCGTTTTCATTTTTCAAACAGAGACAAAGAAAGTTAATTTGAAGATTTCATTCCTCAGATCCATCCGCACAACCAATGAGTTTATTACGGTGCTGTGAAAGAAACTTCATTTCGATCACGCTCACTTCGAAAGCTCGAATTACAACAATTCAAACTCTTTAAATTATTACTCATTTTTACGCCAAATTCCCATCAAAAATTTGAAATAATCATCCTTCCGAGAAGGTTCTCGGGACGTTCAAAATTTGTAGAGCATCTTAAAATTACGCTTTTATTCATTCCTCTATTTATGTATTCTTTGGCTAATTGAAGGGGGTGATGGCAGCCGTAAAGTTCAGTTGGATGAACGAATTGAAACGATCGGGAAGTTTTGTGATAGGATCCAGTCCTGAATTCGATATGGCGCTTTACACACTGTGTTTCTTATCGAGAAGAGGTCGTAACACGTGTGAAGTACGTTCTTTGGTTGCATTTACTAATAACTTGCGCCTTAACTATAAATATAACTACTTTGCTTTCCTACCAAGTTTCATGAAAAGGATTCATCGCTTGTGTACTCCTTAAGAAGTGAATCTTCAGGGACTTTATTTTTAAGCAAACAATCAGTTTCACTGAAACCACCATAAGAATATGACATAATAAACGATCTGGAGAGAATAGAAACTATTTCGTGACGACCAATGGGATTACGAATGAGAATAATTACAGATTGAAATTGACGGATGCCCGCTGTCGATAACAAGTTATGATATCGTTCAACAACGAAAGGTTTTCATCGGCACGATATACCCGACCGCTGGGCGTATCACCAACTCGTGCAGACGTTACAATGGTTAACAGCATCGCATCATTCCCTTGTCATTGATAATATAATTGTTATTCAGTTATTTTACGCAATAAAACATTCATAAAAGTTGAATTCTGCTTTCATCACTCTCACGAAACGATTGATTTGAATATGTCAAAGAAGGAATGATGTGATAAGACGTGATACATTGGTATTATGGGCGTTTCAAATTTATTCGATACCATAAGTAGCAAATCAAGATGAACAGTAACAATGAAATATATCATACCCGACAATACAAACTTTAAAGGATGCTGATCAAAGAAATATCAAGAAATAATCCAAATCGGCCAATTTCATGAATAGAATCAGCTTTCTTCAGCAAATCATCGTTCATTTAACGAGCATCGTAGACCATCACTAGAATGAGCATTCAGCCTCAGAATGTTTTCATGCAACAGCATCAAATTTTCAAATCAAAATTCACAAAATCGAACCATCTGCTTTGAAAAAATTTATGCAAAGATTGGAAGTTAAGCTCAGATAACAAAACATACACTTTCGGCAGCGTTTCTTGTAAAGAATTCTGTGTCCGCAATCGTGACAACGAATTGGATCTTTCGGACGAATTTCATTCTCAGCATGACACTCTGAAAATGCTTCTCCATTCAGTAATATCATAAAATTAATGCTGCTGAAGTACTTGAGTCAACACTGCTCATTAAACGGTGAAGTGATATGTGTAACAAAGACAACGAATATATTTAAAAAAAACTTCCTTTCTAAACCTTTAGTTCGAAACAAAAATGGTTGGAGACTTTCAAATCACTATTTGTGTCATTAAAGATCAT